TTTGTCAGGAGAAATATCACAAATAGGCCAATAGTCTGGATTCAACTTCAACCATGTTGGACCTTCATGCCATTTTTTGGCTTTAATAGTTTCAACAGAACATCCTCTTGACGGAATATCCGCAGGATTCAAGTTGCCAGGAACATAATTCCATGTATCAGGATTAGTAAGAGCTCGTATTTCTTTCACTCTATTCATAACAAATACACCCCAATTTTCTTCATTCTTAATCCAGTACAATGTGTTCCTTGAATCTGTCCAATAAAACGTAGGTATATTTTCTTCCTTCAAATCTTGTTTTATAGATTTCATTAATCTTGCACCAACAACACAAGCTAATAATTCTAGTCTACAAATTGATGTGGGTTTTAGAGGAGCAACTCTAGATCGTGCTTGAACTAAATGACAAAACTTTAATTTCATTTTCATTTCTTAAATAAACGCAGGTTGCATATGCCATTCGGGATGCATCACAAAATATATGAAAGGATAATTTCAATTCAGAATCAATATTAAGCATCATCTGTCGAGGAATTTTTATTTCTGTTAAACGATTTGCATCATTTTTCCATTTCATGTATTTCCTTTGAATTTCTTCAGGAAGAGCTTCATCCCAAGTTACTTTTAATTCCCAGCAGTTTTGTAACAGAATTTTAGGAATTAAAATTATAGGGCAGGTGAATCCAATAGGGTCAAAAATTTTATGAATTTCAGACAAAATTGTTCTTTTAGTAACAATTTTAGTAACATTTTTGTTTATTTTTCGATTCATTTAATCCCTTAATATCACAACTTAATGTGTCATCATGCAAATCCCAAAGAAGTCCCAAAATGTTGACCGTTTTAGCTTCACAAGGATCATCGAAAAACTCATTCTCATTTAATTTATCAAGCTTCGACTGTTCTAAAATGGGTTCAACAACAAATGCATCCCTTTCATTTCGAGGATAGTTATATGCCCACTCTTGTAATTCAAATTTAGCACTTGCCAAAATTTCAGTGGCATCATTTTTTAACTTCTTTAATTCTGATTCATCATTCACACTTGTAACTAAATTATCAACGTACCAGGATTCTACTAATTTATTAGCACTCGCACGATAATTTTCTGGTACTTCATTCATTAATTTCGTTAGTGTTGCATTTAAGAGAAAATGGACTGCTGGTTATTCCAAAGACCACTCTTCTATGCCTGTATATTTTCAAACGCTCAGAATTTCCCTGTTCCCACCATAAAAATCTTAAATAATCTCTGTCTTTAGGATTAAGTGCTATCTGCAGAAAAGCCTTCTTAATATCAGCGCTCACGCCAATTTTTCCCAGTCGAAATCTATTTATTATAGCTGGAACAGTATCAATCAAATTTGGACCCTTTTCCAAACAGTCATTTACGGAAGGGTGATCCTTTAGTTCTTACGGATCCATCGAAAACCGGTCTTATTTTTGTCGTGGTGGAATTCATTCGAATAACAGCACGATGGGGTAAATAATGAGAGGGGTTATTAACTTCTTCCTCAGGAACAATCTCTATTATTTTATCATCTTCCCAAGATTTAAAAATTGCGTTATAATCTTCTAAAAATCCCCCATCCCTTAAATTCTTCACTGTGCTCTTTAATCTCTTTTTCTGCTATTTCTCGATAGTTTGGAAGTAGGGAACGATTTTCAATCCAAGGTAAACAAACTTGAAACCTTCCTTCTTCATCTCTTTTCACATTGGAAAGAAAATGTGTCATTGTTTGTTTTTCTAATTCCCTTTTAGTTTGACTTTCTGAAGGGTCTAATATCCCAAGAGTATCAAGTTTCCATAAATCAGAAATTTTACTATCTGATACTACATAGAAAATGCATAAGAACAATCATATTTATTTTCCATTTCTATGGGAATTTTCCCCATGATACTCCAGCCTAAATAAGTTTCAATGCAAACTAATCCACATTCTAACTTCTTTATTTTCCCTGTAAGCAATTTTCCCGCTATGTCCGCGCCTATGAGGATATGAATTTCAGAAGGAGAATGCTCGAACAACAATTTTTTTATGCCTACCTTCAACATCATTCAAAAATATGTTATGGGTTTTTAACTCATTTAAATAAGGCTTGATGTTCAATTGTGGAATATCAGAACAAATTTTCGCTTGATCAAAAGCTTTGAAGTTACACTGATAATCGTTTTTAATACTACTTAAACGTACAACGAACTGTTTATGAGTTTCAACCACTTCGGTTCCTCCGAACAGACTATGAATCACACTGCTTTCGTTAATACATTCGTACTGCATAGCATTAGCTAAGAATTTAGATACATAGCTTCGTTGACTCCCAGAATCAATTAAACAGCGGCAGTATTTTTCTGTACCATTGCCAGCACTTTTACTACTAAAGTTTGTAATAAAACTTTCTCTAAACATGATGTAACAGCTTTAAATAATATTAAAATCTTGTAGTTTAAATAATTTAAATAGACGAACATTAAGGTATTTGTGAATGGCAATATTTGAAACCAGCTCGAGTGCCTCGTGCGACTCTTGCACGAAGATTAATTTATTTTTAATGAGAATATGTTTTCCTTCTTGTTGTATTCGCCATTTTTTTAGTGTTAAATAAAAGTTATTGCTGTGTTCCATCATTGGAGTTGCTTCATATCGCCAAAGAAGTATCACAATGATTTGTTCGTCAAATTGAAATCCTTCTTATTTGATTTTTTCTCATCTAAACTATTTCTATCACAGATTAAACTATTGTGTTTCCAACCACATGAATCACACTTCATCTTCGAAAAGCAATTTTTTGCCAAATGGTTACCCCTTTTAAGGCATAAATAACACATTCCGAGTTTCCGAAGTGACGCCTTTCTGTCTGCTACAGATTTCGGGTAAGCATCGGAAGTATGTTTTTCTTTTCTGAATCCTCGCAAAATAGCAGCTGTTAATTGAAACGTTTAACACAGCAGCCGTTGGAATAGAAATTTTATTTTTCTTTTTTCTTTGGGAAAGTGGTTCGAATTATGGTTGTTTATTTTATCTTGAACTTGTAGCATAGATTCGCGGCATTCAATTTCCGTTTTTAAGAACTCTAATAATTCGTTTACATCGAAATTATCTTTCGATTTCCTTTTTCTTTGGAAATTAAGATTCAGTTCATTCGGAATTAATTTTAATAAAACTGGTGTCAATAACGTGCCATATGTGCCAGAAGTTACATTAAGTGATTTTAAACTTCTTATCTGTATTTCGATATCATCATACAACTTGCGTAATGCAAATATGTTGTTAGCATTCCTAACAGGTTCTAAATTTAACAGTTTTTCCCATATGTGCATTTATAATTAAATCTGTTCGACCAAAGCGTGTTTTAAGTAACTCGATTGCGGCAAAATAATTTTCACTTGATAATGCAAAACCACTAACAGCATTACAAGCAGCACCTGATAAAAATGAAATCAAATAATTAAATTTGTCTGTATCTGTTAAATCACTATTCTGATGTATCACATTGTCAAACTGGTTCCAAAATGATAACCAATTAACAGGATCGCCATTAAATTTATTGATCGATAATTTAGGCAATTTAATTTTTGAATGAGATACAGAAATATTTGAAATATCATTCACAATATTACCAATTGTATTCGAAACAGGAATTTCAGGTTTCCTATTCTCTTTTAACATAAATGTTAGCTTTGATTTCATGGAAATTATTTTCTCGGAATAAACTTCACAAGTTTCAAATTCCGATTCATATTCAGTAGCCTCAATTAATTCTTGTATTTGTTTATCTAATTCTTTTAGGCTGTTATATTTTCAATCTAATAAATCAATATTTTCATTAAAGAATATACAAATCGTGTTCTGTTTCTTGAAGGTATTCTTTACAATTATTTATCAACTTTGTTGTCATACTCCTAACTACAGTTCGTCTTTTCTTTAATACTTCTATTTTAATAAACATGTTTAAATATTGCAGATAGAAAATATTTCAAATTAGAAATCAGTACGATCAAATCATAAATAAACTTCTCAAATCAAAAGGAGCTATTTTTTAAACATTCCTAAATCTTTCACTTCAATATAGTCTACATCGGCGGTCCCTGTTCGGGCGCCAAAAATATTTATATCGTTTCAATTCAGTAAAAAACAGATCATTCAAAATTCTAGATAAGCAAATAAAGAAAGGTTGCTTACCTTTATGATCCGTTTTCTTCGACTCTGGTCCGCCGCTTTAGTAGACTTCGATTTGATTTCAAACTTATCTAATCTAAAATTGGCACTATTTTGTATGAATCAATTTATTTGACATTTGACACAAAAGAGGAACAATTTCAAAATCATTACAACATCAAAAACACTTCTAACTACTTAGCATCATTGTTCTACATATCTAAAAGCGTCATTATTCTACTGCGTCACTGTTCTAAAAGCATACACTTATCGTTGCCAGTTCTGAAAAAACAAACTTTCTTTTTCAATTCTCGTCGGTCTGGAGGCTCAATCCGTTCCCCAAGAGCGGAGCGTGCGTCGTTCGCGACACTGCCCACGCCGGAGCGGCATATGGGTCGGATTGCCTGTAGATAGAGTGTTCTTTTAGCGTTGATATTTAACTTCGAATATTTGCACATCAAAGGGCACGTTGTGATTTAAGGCTCATTAAGGCACGTTGTGATTTACCTTTGATATAATTTTTGAAAGTTAACATCTGGTCGAGATTAGCACCTAGATATTTTACTTGGTGGTCACGTGACACGATTTGTTCGTCCATCGTAATATCTTTTAAGTCTTGACGGATATTTCCTTTTTTAAAGTAAATCACTTTTGATTGTTCGGGGTTAATTTTAAATTTCCATCTTTTAAACCAGGGTGAAATGTAAGATGCCAAAAGTTCCTGGCGCAACGGTCATCTCTGATTGGTTGAATTTCTCCAGTTCCCGGCGGGTTTTAGCAAGGCCAACATCCGTAGTTGGTTTTAGCCAAAGAATCTGTAAGAATCTCCTTACAGATTCTTTGGTTTTAGCCGCCCGTAGAAGGAGGTCCGTTGAATGAAGAGAAGTGAATTACTCTGACATGAAGTGTAAACAGTCACCGAAGTGAAAATCTTATGCGGCTATTCAGTGTTAGTTTGCTGTTGCTACATTTGTGAAATCGTTTGGTGAGTAACGTGTTTGCTGCGAAACCGGAAAAGTTTCGCTGTTCTGCTAAATAATATTGAAATGTATTTATAAAGATCTGGAAGTGAGAAGAAAGTGTCACATTTTCAGTGATGTACGTTAAAGAATTAAATTTTATTTCAATCCGTGGAACTGTTTTTCCTTGATTATTAATGTTAATTTGAGGGAAAAGTTTGTAATTTTATTTTTTCATTTAAACAGCATGCGCAGAGAAAACTGAATGTCTGTGGGGATATTGCTATATTTAAAATTAATCGAATATTCTTTCTTAAAACGAAGCGGATTTCATTGAAAGCGGTCCCGAAGTAACTGATTTATTAATCATTAACTTTTATCGTGAAGTAAAGTAATTGTTGATTTTTTTCTTCTTTTTTTAGTTACGGTTGAAATTTGTATTTTTCATCATGGTTGATTGCTCCTGTATTCGGAACATCAGTTATCCTAATGTCAAGCTGCACTATTTCCTACTTAATGCAGGTATGTACAAACTCCGCTTTGAATAACTAATAGCAAAAATATTATAGTGGATGCTTATGTTCTGTTTAACTTTTTCCAAATTAGAGATGCATATATATATTCCCTTAATTCCCTGTAGCTTGTTATTGTCAGTGTTACACGTAGTGCTTTCTTTTCTAATTGTGATAGTGCTATATTGAAGTTTAGAAACAGTATCATAATTAGGTGTTTCATAATGAATAGTGTTAAACTCCTAATTTTGCTAGATTGAAGTCTAGCAACAGTATCATAATTAGGTGTTGCATAATGAATAGTGTTAAACTCCTATTTTATGTGATTGATAATTTTATATTTCTGACATTTCCTTCTCATTAAATACATAGAAAGAACAATTTTCAATACAGGCAAACAAAATATACATAATCTCAATAAACTGCATTTTAAACCAAACAATAAAATAACGTAAAAAAGGAAAAACCTGTTATACATTTAATCACTACAAAGAGCAAATATCCACCCACCCTATTTAGAAGTTCCTTCGTCTTTAGTCTGTGGCACACAAAATTCCTTTACAGCATCCAAAAACTTCCTAAAATTATCTGAACTTGAATCCGTATATGGGCATTGCCACATCTGAACCTTTCTTCCTACAAACTGATTCAAATCCATCTAAAGTTTAAATTTTAAACGGTTTTTACGTTTGACTAGATGCATATCCTTCCTACATGCAGGACACTTATAATGGCTTTTAAGTAAACTTTCATTTACACACCAGTCAATTAACACTCTTTTCCCCTTTCGTTCCAAATCGTACAGAAACTTCAAAATTAATATTACTACATTCAGCCATTCCACCATCTAAACAAAACAATAAAACCAACACACACCACAAAAGAGCTTACAAAACATCCCATGATTCAAAATTTCCCAGAATCATGCACCCGATTTCGTCACAATAGGGTTTCCATAACATTCAGCTACTCAGGCTACCATAAATGAAAAACAACTTCACCATAATACAAGGGGTACCTTAAAGTCTACTCTAACCAAGTCTATTCTTTTTATGTAGCCACCAATTTTTCTACTAATTACAAAAATCACTAAAAATCTCTAATCTTTTGGCCTTAAGTATCATTGGAAAAAAAAAAAGAGGCCTTTTTTTTTTTTAAATTTACGTTTATGTGAATGAGCACTTCGAGTGGAATTAGCTGAAGTCTGTAATTATCAGTAAGCGTAATGTCAACATAAAAGGTTATTGTGCTCTCTTAATTACTAATATTATAATTTATTTTAAAAAATTTCTTAGAATGCTGCATGAATTATTTCTCAATCTGTAGTATGTTGATAGTCATTCCGTGACAAAAGCAAAATATAATAAATTATAGTTCACCAGAATGGCATCAGTGCTAAAGTGAGAATAAGAATCAGAATTCTTCACTTGTATTATTATGAAAAAAAATCAAAAGTGAAGCATAAAAGGAATTTCGGTATTTTCTGTTTTGCTGGCGCAAATGATAAAGTCGCCAATAATGGTGCAACTGATGCCAAACAAAATATCTTCACAGGTAACCTTTTACACTTCATTTTCAAAACAAGTCGCAACCATTTCTTATCAGATTGATTGTTTGTTTCAATACTGGTATACAATTGCATAGAATTTTTACTAGGTAGTTCAGTTTTATATCCTAAGACCATTTGGGGTAATTAAGTCTATTAGGATGCAATCATATCACTCACACGAAGGCGAAAATATAGAAAAGGCAAAATTAAGGGTTAAATTCATAAATTCTAATGAGAATGCACTAGCGAAAGTAAAGCACTGTGGTTTTACATAATTTTTGAGTAAGCTATTCGTACGAATTTAAATATTTTTTGCATTTAAACATGTATTCCAAATTAAGATTTGACTTGAAATTAATGTAGATAATTACTGAGAGAATTATATTTTTGTAGTGTAGATTATGCGAGATGAGATCACTTTTGGTCATGTGATACGAACCGGTGAATCAGGATGTTGAACCATGAAAACATAGTAAATTCTTAAATTAATGTCTTTTTACAAAATTTTAAATCATATTAATATGTTTATGCCTTGAAAATAAAAAATTCGGTACTATTCGGTTTCGAGGGCCGTAAAAAAATTGCGGCGAAAATGTATGCGCAAAAGCGCCAAATCTAGCAAACGACGCGCCCGTTTAACAGCGCGCCAAATCTAGCGTACGCATTGATTTCAGATTGTGTAAGTTTATATAGTTCTATATTTCTTAAGACGCCATTGAAATACTAGTTTAATTTTTAAATCCTTTTTTGATTTTAAATTCTTTTTTGATATCCTATGGATTTAACAATTTGGGAATTGCCCCTGACGAAAAGTCGGCAATAGAATTTTGGGTTAAGTGCAGAATCATCCACTGCTTGACGCGTTTTTAAGAACTGCAAATACTCGGTATCCATGTAACCTATTTTCACTTAAAAAAAATCTTAGAATTGCACACAAATGGCACTGCGCACACCCTTGACTTTATCTATGTACACATCTACCTATTTTCACTTAAAAAGTAAAAGAAAATTGACAAAAATCCAATTGTTTTTACCCTTGTAAAAAGCGGCAAACAAATAAGTGAGCGATTCTGCACTTTACCAAGAATAATTTCAAAGAAAAGACATCATAAGCAGCAAGCAGTAGTCTACCTTAGAAGCAAAGTGCATAGTTATCCAACATGGAAACTTACTAAGAGAAAGGTTTATGTAAAGATAGAAAATTATGTTTGAACAACCAACGAGATGAAATTATGCTTTAGCGATAAGTTCGAAAGCGAAATAGCGATGCAGGCATCCATTCAGTTATGTTTAGCAATTTTTATATAAATTATAATAGTTATTTACTCTTATGTTTCCATTCAGTCATGTTTAGCCTTTTTCATACAAAGGCCCTCGAAACTGAATAGTACCAAAAATTCTTAGAACTGAAATTTTTATGTGTATACTGTATGCTGTCGCCAACAAAGTCTGCTTAGCAAGATTTGCACCAGTCTGTATTTTTTATCATTCTTTGAATATTGGGCATCCAAATTTCAGACTATATATATTTTTCAACTTTCGGAAAGTGGGAGAGGAGGGGGGTGGTGGTAAGCAGCAAGCAGTAGTCTACCTTAGAAGCAAAGTGCATAGTTATCCAACATGGAAACTTACTAAGAGAAAGGTTTCAGTTCTAGAAATTTTGAGTTTGTGTTCCAAATTTGGTATATCACCATCTTTATGTAAAGATGGAAAGTACCCAAATTAATCTGTTAATGCCCAAAATTTTTTTGAAAAGTATTTTTAAATTACATTTCATATATAATAAATTAAGTAATTATGAAGTTTTATTCAATTACCATAATTAGCAGTTCAGCTAATAGGTGATCTGTAAATAGATTGGTGGGCGCTCCTGGTAATAAAAGAACAAGTAACTGCCCTCTGATCTTATGTTGGAAAAATTACGAATTTAGTTTTAAAAAAAAAGAAGTTTTTGCAGAATTAAAAACAACTAAAAAGATTTGAAGAATATATTTTTATTGAGCAAATTTGCAATATTTAAGTGTGATATAGTGGAACACATTTCACACAAAGTGTTACATCGCATTTTGTACAAAACATAATAGGACTATATTTTTGAATATATATTATATTTTTGAAATCCACGTCTTCTTTGGTTTCGTCATTTACCTATGTTGTGGTCTTTTCTATCTAAACATAGAGAGCCTATCACTTTAGTCTCAATGACATCACCAAATGTCTTCCAGTGCTTTTCTTCGAAATTGTTCCCAGCTTGAGGTGTGCAACCGCAATATGTCTTCGGATCTCTTTTATACGTTTTTCATCACTCGTGTTCCAAGCAGTTCATTTGTTTCAGAAGTATTGTCAAAATTATAACAGTAGCCCTTTACTCCACACATGGCCAATGATTTATAGCAAAACCGTTCAGGTTTGGCTTTAAAAAATGATGACCGTAATATCTAATCTTCATTTCATCAACAGACAGAAATTTATCGAAAATTCCAAATTTTATATATGTGATTAGTTTTTTTTTTTTTTATTTATTTATTTATTATTATTATTTTGAATGCTCGGTCTGATTTTTGCATGACTGCATAATTATTGTTGGCAAAATGGATTACAGATTTAATTTCTAAGTATTTATTTAGAGACATTGCAATTTTTATTATTGGTACTATGAAATTTTCCTCGGACCAGCATGTTCAATACATAAAGTATAGTAGCCAGAGAAAATAAAAAAAACCAATAAAATCCTTCAACTCATCAACTGTAACTGAAAACTCTGGCTTATTTTCCCACACTTTCGCATACCTTTCTGTTTCATTTATTATACATTCGTGAAATTTGGGAGAATCGGAAATTCTTGAAAACTTTCAAGTGGTTCATATTTTCTGAAATACTTGAAATACTCTCAAGATTTTCACCAGACAAATTATCTGTGTTAAAAACATAAGTAGGGTTAATTTTTGTCTAATTTGCTTTTGGCTGCATTTGTTTAATAATTTCGAACTAACTTTTTTTTTTTTTTATTTTCATTTTCATTACTGGCACTAGATGGAGATGGCAGTTGCTCCGTAATGTTAGGTCCAAAATCATTTATGTTAACCCATGAAGGGATTATTCCACCATCATTAAAGCACTGCTCGTCCATTAACTCATCCACTTGAGGCAGTAAAGCAATTATATTTGACTCAATCTCCTTAGAAAATTTATATTTTGATGTTTCTTTGGCGGTGTGAAACACTTAACACCTGGACATTTTAGAAAAAATGAAAAGTAAAAAAAAGCAGTCAAAAGTCGTTAATCCGGAATCGTCAGGACTTCGGCCATTCCGGATTATCGATTTTTCTGGATTATAGATCATCAGTTTAAATCTGGTAAGATGGCATGCAGAAATTATAAAATTAAAAATATGAAACCGTAATTTATGAAATAAAGAACAATTATGATCTAAAGGGTATCAAAATTTACAAAAAAAAAAAAAAAAAACTTAATTATTTGTTTACTTTATTAAACATTTCTTTCAATGTAAGTTATTTAAGTTGCTTCATTTTATGTGATAATACTTTCTCTTTAATTCTATAAACAGACATAATTTCTTCTTCAGTTACAAAGTTCTGCTGTTCAAGTCCTATAATTGCTGTGTCGAGAATACCGACTAATTTGTCAATCGAAATTTTTTCGTTTTCAATAACCTCTGTGTCACTTTCTTCACTATCGGAAGCGAATTATAATGAGGAGAAATTTGATTTAAATCATATCAAAGACGGAGTACATCGAGATGAAATAGTACATTTAGTAAGGAATTATAAGCCAAATAAAATAAAAACATCTGCTCTGAAGATAAGGATAGTGCTGACAGATCAACTTCCAATTCATTGTGCGGCGCGGCGTCCCCCCCCCTTAGTCCCCCCCTGGAATGCTTAGAGAAACGAAGGATATGCCTTTATCTATTTTTTGCAGCAATTCCACTTTTTGTTTAATGGACTTCGAAACATACTTTCGCTTTGTAGATCCTTTGCATATTAGTAAATATATATCGGAAATTTTATTTGACATAATCGAAAGTTCAAGCTTACTTTTATAAATTGCTCTAACAGTCTGCAAAAAATAATAAGCCAGATCCAATTAGAAGTTTAAGGAACAACGCAATCTGCAACATTAACTGAGATAATTTTAGCTTAGCTTATACCGTCCGTTATACATTAAACACGCATGCGTAAACGTATTATGCACATGCACACACGCATATTCGCAGTCGTAAAGGTCTTGCGCACATGCGTCAAAGCGATGCATGCGCAGAAAGTTTGTAGTTTTGAGGTCCGAATTAACGACTTTTGACTGTATTAGTTAACACTGATGCCCAGCCATCTATTTATATAAAGAAAAAAAGTTAAAGAGGTATTGAAAATGTTGAACACATAAGAAAAGTATAACTTACTTAAAATTATTTTCTTGTTGGAATACAAAATCAAAAGCTGTGCTATGAAGCCTCATTTGGCTAACTTCAGACATTATCTGCTGGACTCTTCTGTAAAAGGATGTTTCAAAATGTTTTTGGGGGGTATGGCTGCATGTGTAAAGAAATCAACCAGTGACAAAAAGAAATAATTAAAAGTTATTGTTCTCAATGGTCGTTCTAAAAGTAGGTGATCTATAAATAAATCACTGGGTAGTAAGAATAAAGGAGTTATTGCAAAATAAAATTACAAGTTTGCTTTCATGTTTTTCATCATTAGACTTAATGATATAAGAAAGTTGATTGCATAGATATTGATACATAATGAATAACAAACATGGTGATCAAGGTAAGTTAAATATCAATTTTTATTTCAATTGCCATCTGTTTCCACAAATAACTTTTCATCCTAATTGTGCCTATTTCAAAACATTTTCTCTTTTGCTGAGGAGCAGAGGCATAGTTATCTAACATTGAAGCTTATCAAGAGAAAGGTTTCGATTCTAGAAATTTTGATTTTAAGTTCTGAATTAGCTGCATCATTATCCTTATGTAAAATTCATACGATGTGAATTTGTTTAGAAATGAAGGAGATTAAAAAAGTTATCAAACAATTGTTTTTTTAGAACAGAGAGGGAAAATACCCAAATTGAATTGAAGGGGGCTATTGCTAATTTAAATTATAATTTTGATTTACATGATTTTATCTTGCATGTATGTTATATAACCTATATTATATTTTAATTATCTAATTATCGCTAAAATCAATCAATAAATCTACTTGCAGGTAAATAAACAAATGTAACTTGGAGTGAAACAAAACAAAACAAAAAAATATATGGAAATAGTGATGCCACTTGTTAAAAATAAAAAACTAATGCATGGTTGCTACATTTTGATGCATTTTGAAAATTTGGCATTTTTTACTAAGATGATTATGCTAATACATAATAACCACATGATATTTAGCATATGTTTTATGTGAATTTTAGGAGTATGCACATACTTCTGCTTCATTTAGAGTATAAATATTATTTGGATTTTTAATTTCATTCAGGGCTCAAAGTCTTCATAAATCAAACTACTGCTATTCTGCATACTCTTTTGTTTCCATTAAAATTGCGGTGTCAACTTATTTAGCAAGATTCAGCAAAATTTTCCAAAAAAAATTCTGTTGTAAATTGCTACACAGAAACATGACTACATGCTCAAAAAGAATATTCTGGACAAAGTTTAGCGAAGTAGTTCTCAACTTTTTTTTGCCCTTTGCACCCGTTTCATCATTCCCCATCTCTCCTTTACAAAACTTGAAAAATATTACAAAGCTTGAAATCTGAATGCCCTGTATCCAGGGTGATCTAAAATCCAGATCTCCAAATCAGCAGCAACCTCTCATTTTTTTTTTTTTTTTTTTTTTTTTCCCAATGTGTGTACTTTACTGCTTGCACATTTGGTACTTTTCCATGATAAAACATGTGGAGAGTCCCGTTCTTAATCTCAATTTGGCCCTGGCACCAACATGGCAAATCATTATTTATTTATTTATGTATTTTTAAATTTTTAAAATTAGTAATTGAATACCAAAGAGCATGGTAACCTTTTATGTTATGTTGACACTATGCCTGGCGATAATTACAGATTTGGGTAACTCTGCTTGAAGTGCTGATGAGGAGAAATTTGACAGAAATTTATTCCTATATTTAAAAAAAATGTAAATGATACTTGTATGTTAAATGACTATGTTTACTGCTGTTAGTGATTCCATTTAGTGCATTGAGGATAACTCATCTGCCATCCAGTTAAGCCTAGGACCAGTGGCAAAGCTAGTGTGGCTGCACCGGGCAGCAGAATGTAGGGAAGGCAAAATATTTAGAATTTAGAGAAGCACTGAGCAACAAAATTAAGTGATGGTAAAATCATTAGAATTTAGAGAGGCACTTGGCAGCAGAATTTAAATATATATTTAAGTATAGAAAATTACGTTTATAAGCCATTTGTATATATAAATTTATTTATTTGTAACTTGAATAAACATTAATCAAGTGTAGAAAATAGGCATAAGTATAATAAATAATTAATATAATTCAAGTTTAACTTCGTTAGTGTGCAGTAGAAGAAAGAAAAAAATTAGCGGAACAATATTTCTTTAGTCGCCAATCTCATGATGCATTGCCAATAGTGATATGCAGTTCAACATCCTTCTTCAGTTTACATCTTCATGCAAAATAGGAATTTATAATACTGACATTAGAATTTCTTGCCGCTATTCATTATTATGTGCATAAAAATCATTGTTGTGCTATTTAAGGGATAATTTTTGTGCCAAGTTGCACTCCTCAAAATAAACTAAGTTTTCAATAATGCAACTGAAACGACTTTTCAAAGGGGAATAATTTTTATAAGCAAGCTATTTTGGAGTCCAGAATATCTACACAATATTCATATTTAGAATGGTTAAGATAGTTTTTCAGCTATCATAATTTTTTATATGAATTGTGAAGCATTTGTCACCATTTAAACTAATTATTTTTAGCATATCAGTTTTACATTTAAATTGTGAATATTGGTAAAACAAATCTGTCTAACAAATGATGCATAGAATAAAATGTATCTGAAAATATAATTGTTTAAAAGAATTTAATTTATTAGTTGTTATTTAATTCTGAATATTTTTCCCCCTTAGCATTGGCCTGTGTCATACCATATCTCCCTGTTCATGCAAAAGAAATTGGAATATCAGCTGTATCTGTTGGTGTCATATATTCATTTCTTCCTCTTGTTACAATGGTAGCTAAACCATTTTTTGGGGGAGTTGCAGACCATTTTAATAATCTAAAATCATTGTTACTCATATTTTTAGGTGTTGTAATGTTGTCTTCATCATTAACAGTATCTATACCGAGAAAACAAAATATGATTACTAGTGAAGTACGTTGCACTGCATCGGGAACAACTCTGTACTTCAAAGCTAAACCAAGCCAAGATTGCATGATTGATGTTTTGAGTACAAAACCATTGAAATGCTATATGTATTGTTCAGAATGTTTATTAGTTAAAAATGGAACACATAAAAATTCTTCAGTGGATACTGCATGTGCAAAAAAGGTAGTACATCCTACAGAAGTTACAGTACACTTGGAAAAGCGAAATGATTCAACCCACCTATTTAGTGTCCGAGATTTGACTCTTTCAGAAAGAGTTATGAATACTCTTTGTTTCGTGAATTTGACATTCAGTTGTAGCTCATTTTGTGAACCAGTTCTACAAGAATGTTTCACAGGTAAACAGGAGCCTGAATATAGCAGTGATCAGTTTTGGTTGTTTTTAATTTTTGCTACTTTATGTGTTAGTATAAGTGGTGTCATTGTTTCATTTTCTGATGCGATATGCTTTAATGAATTGGGTGAAAATGCACATCTTTATGGTAAACAGAGATTATGGGGCACAATAGGTTGGGGTTTATTATCTCCTGTTGCTGGATATCTAAATGATTTAGTTACTGGTGATTCTTTTCTTAAAGCTTATCAGCCAGGAGCAATCCTTCTTGTATTAATATTAATTTATGATCTCTGTATTGCCAATAAATTAAAGACAAAAAATTTGAAATTTTCACGGAATGTATGTAAAGATGTAGGTTCTTTGCTTTGCAAATTCAAAGTAGTAGCATTTTTGCTATCTGTGCTTGTGATTGGCTCATTTACTGCTCTTCTTTGGTCATTCTTATTTTGGCATTTGGTCACTTTAGGTGCAAATAAAATAATTTTGGGTGTAGTTCCTGCAGTTCAATGCTTTATTGGAGAACTACCATTTTTCTTTTTCTCAGGAAAAATTATTTCAAAATTAGGTCACTTTAATATATTAACTGTAAATTTTATATCATTTGGTGTACGATTCATTGCTTATTCTTTCATCAAGAATCCATGGCTAGTGCTTCCCATTGAGCTATTACAAGGATCTACTTATGGTTTGTTTTATGCTAATATGGCATCATTTGCACATATGGCTGCTTTGCCAGGCACTGAAGCCACTGTTCAAGGTCTTGTTGGAGGAGCTTTTGAGCTTGGTAAGTATACATTTATATTCTGTAGTTTATTAAACATTTAACGTAAAGTAGACTAGTGTTTATATTGTTCTTACATATGAAATCAACTTCCTTCAAAATCAGATATTGTAAGAAATGCAATTGAAATTAGAAACTGATAATTTATCATACATTTATATCTTTATGAGCAATATTATACGTTTCACAAGAATGTCAGCTATTTAACTTAAATCCTGTGATTTGAAGTCTTGGATGAAAATCAATATTTAATTATAAAATATATATAAATGAGTTTTATTCAAATATTTTTCATTACAAAAATTATAAGTCTTTTGAAAAGTGTGGTATTTAAATCATTAACAAATACAAATTCATTAGCTGAAACTGTGTTAATATCTCATTACTTTTTTGTAACTTCAATTTTTATATTGGGAGTGCAAATAAATCTCCACCGTTTGACAAAAAAAAAGACACCAGCAGTAAGTTTTAAAATTGTGTGATGTAAAACATCATATCATATCCTCTGCTAACAACATAACCTTGAAATATTAGCGATTTTAGATCTGCATCATATACAGTCAAAAGTCGTTAATCTGGACTCGTCGGGACTTCGGCGATTCCGGATTATAGATCATCAGTTTAAATCTGGTAAGATGGCATGCAGAAATTATAAAATTAAAAATATGAAACCGTAATTTATGAAATAAAGAACAATTATGATCTAAAGGGTATCAAAATTTATAAAAAAAAAAAAAAAAAAAAAAGCTTAATATTTATTTGTTTACTTTATTAAACATTTCTTTCAATGTAAGTTTTTAAGTTGCTTCGTTTTTTTTATGTGATAATACATTCTCTTTAATTCTATAAACAGGCATAATTTCTTGTTCAGTTACAAAGTTCCGCTGTTCAAGTCCTATAATTGCTGTGTCTACCGACTAATTTGTCAATCGAAATTTTGTCGTTTTCAATAACCTCTGTCACCTTCTTCGCTATCGGAAGCGAATTATAATGAGGAGGAATTTGATTTAAATCATATCAAAGACGGAGTACATCGAGATCAAATACTACATTTAGTAAGGAATTATAAGCCAAATAAAATAAAAACATCTGCTCTGAAGATAAGGATAGTGCTCACAGATCAACTTCCAATTCATTGCGTGCCGCGGCGTTAAAGATAAACAAAGTTTAGATAAACAAACGTTAAAGTTTAGATAAACAAAAGATATACCTTAATCCATTTTTTGAAGCAATTCCACTTTTTGTTTAATGGACTTTCGCTTTGTAGGTCCTTTACATACTAGTAAATATGTATCAGAAATTCTATTTGACATAATTGAAAGTTCAAGCTTACTTCTATAAAATTGCTCTAACAGACTGCAAAAAATAATAAGCCGGATCCAATTCGAAGATTAAGGAACAACGCAATCTGCAACATTAACTGAAATAGATAATTAGATAATTTTAGCTTAGCTTATACCGTCTGTTATACATTAAACGCGCATTCGTAAATGTATTCTGCGCACACTCACACGCATATTCGCACCGTGCGTCAGTGCGACGCATGCGCAGAAAGTTTGTAGCTTTGAGGTCCGGATTATGAGTGTCCGAATTAAACGACTTTTGACTGTATATCTATTTGCGTGCGAAAATGCCATGATTTGAGCCAAATGATTACCAAAGCTTCTGCAAACTAAATGATAAGCGATAAACTTAAATCACTGTATATAATGAAAACTATATCCAAAGCTTGTTATATTTTGAGCTGTTATTTTTGTTCTATATGTATGTATAAATGTTAAATTATATGCACATGATAGCCAATGGTGTACTGTGATTTTCACCAAAGAACACTAAAAATTTAAAAAAAAATTAGCATCCTCTTTTAAGATGCTACTTATGGGCATTGAGAGTGTGGGGATGATTGTCTTAGTAAAGTTCAGTACTTGTATTTATTTATGTTTTCAGAAATACTGCTCACTTTCAGAAGTGGTCATTATGGTAGGGTTTATTGTATTTTGAATATGAAAGCTAATGGGTTTATTAATGTGTTGTATGCTCTAATAAATTCACAAGGGGGAAGAGGGAAGATCAAAGTGATTATGCAATAATAAATAAACAAATTTTTTAAACTGATAATTGACAAAACAATTAACTATTAATAAAGACCATTTTTATCTATAAAAGAATTCGTAACCAGCAAAAAAAGATTACTTTTTAGTTTGCTAATTGTTAATCATTTTTAAATTGTCCTTTTATATAAGTGGTAAAGTTTAAAGGGAAGGAAAAGAAATGAAGTTCTGCTGGTAACACTCCACTTTGGAATGATAGGTATAAAATTTCATGTTTGCACAAACGAATATATATTCAATAAATATACTTTTTATAATTATTTTTCTCTTTTTTATTTCTTTTGGAAATGAATTATCATAAAAAGTGTGATAGGCGATTGAGATCGTAGGATTATGATATTGACAGCTGGTTATCACATTGTCATATAATGACTCCAGAGGTTGTTTGTGCATATTTTGTAGTGATCTCTGGGAGGAGTAGCTTTCTATACCCTTTTTTCCGCAGTTCAAACTTTGAATTATTGCACAGTATATTTTGCTTTAAATTCTTTCACATACAACAAAATATGTTCAAGAAGACAAATTAAAATATAGCACTAAAGGTTAAATTAGCTAATAAGAAGTCTGAAAACATTAAATTTTGTAATGACTTACAGCTGGTAATTTATAGCATGGCTGAAACATCTATGGGAATTTTGAAAGCTTGACCGCACTGAAATGGCACAGATAAGCGAGGCAATTGGTGCTCATTTTAATGCTTTTGAATATTAAGTAAAACTTAAAACCATTAATTTCTGAAATATTAGGGGACTAAGTTTCCCTTGTCCATTGAAACATGTCACTGATATATTAAAATCTGGCAGCAATGCCATTATATAAGTGGCAGAGTTTGAAGGGGAAAAAGAAATGAAGTTCATCTGCTGGTAATGATGGTTAAATTATAAGGTATTTTATCCCTTCTTTCTGCATGCCTTCGGGGGGTAACAGTAGCACACTCGACGTGTATTCGAGAGGTCCAGGTGTGAGTCCCAGTGAGGGTATTGCTCATTTTTCATGTCAGCCTGCTTCAAAAAAATCCAATGACTCTACAGTTGCACCCTGGCTAAAATGTGATGGACAATAATTTTTCACCACCAGAATTTTGCAATTGGGTCTCCTAATCCCCATTCGCCCTTTAAAAGGGGAAGTATATATGGTATTTTCTCCCTCCTTCGAGCATGCCTGTGTGGTATAAGGGTAGCACAGTCGACGTGTATTTGAGAGGTCCCCAGGTTCGATTCTTGGTGAGGATATCACTCATTTTCATGTTTTATGCTTCAAAATTCATAATGACTTTACATAATGTTCAGGAGGGGAGAAAAGCCATTTCTCTGGTGCTATTTTACAGTCAGACTGTGTAAGCCATTCTTAAAAATACTTTGTCATCCCTTCTTTTTTATTATGTCTGTGTAAAATAAGAAGATTATATGAAGTTTTACTAGAATTACCAGATGTCCAGAATTAGCCTGGACAATCTGGAATGAATGATTATGTCTGGGATTTTTAAATAAGATTGCATGTCGCCATTTTTGTATGTTTTCATTTTATCACATTTAAAGTTCCAACAATTTTTATAGACAAATGGAGATATTTTTTGTCTTGAACTCAGTTTGAAATATGAAGAAAGAAATTGCAGTAAAATTTGATTATTTTAATTATTTTGAATAAAACTTGCATCTATGTTATTACATTGACCATCTGATTAAATTTTAATTGTTTTTTTTTTTTTTTTTAATTAGAATTGCAGAATATCATGTCCTAATGTGGTTATATTCATGTCCTAATGTGGTATATAGTGTAAACGGTCTTGTTGATCCTTTATTGCCACCTTATATATACTTTTTAAACTGTCTTCCAGATGCTGAACAGTAAATACAGACAGGTGTTTTTATGAGCAGTATTAATAATTCACTATTAATATAACTAAATCTTGAAATAATTTTGGTACTGTTCTGTTACCAGGACTGGTTTCAGAAATGTATGTATGGATGTATGTACGCATGGATATTTAGCTACATGCGAATGTATGTGTGTGTATACATATACAGTCATACACACTTGCATACATACATATATACATTTCTGAATCTGATACTGATAACAGAACACTACCATAATTTTTTCATAATCTCACAAATGCACTAATGCATTTTTTCAAATATTTAGTACTATTGAACATCCTTAATACAATAAAAAATACTGATAAATATCTGAAACACATATTGTTCTTATGAGTATTCAAACATGTTAATATATTGCATTGTTGAAATTTTTAGGTAATAAATATTTGCATAAAGAATTATGAATGAGACTTGTTTAGGTAGTAAAAATATATAGTGGTCTCTCTGGGATGTTTTTATTTTCATTAATCTTTTGTGTGTGTGATTTTTTTGGAATTTTCAATGAATAATGCTATTTGACATTCATACTGCAAACTGTAAAGTATAAAATCAAAATTTAATCTTATGCTTTTATTTCTAAATATCTAATGATTATTTTTATTTTCAGGTATGGTTTTTGGTAACTTTTTAGGTGGCGTTGGCTTTCAGACTATGAGTGGAGCATTCACTTTTAAATGGGCTGGATTTACTTCTCTGATTTATTGTGGTGTACACATAGTATTCAGCATTATTGTGAAACAACTTGACAAAAGAAGTATGCTTCTGTTATTAAACACTAACAATATGTATATTTTTAAATGCAACAAATCTATGTAATATTTGCTTGTATTGGTTCTTCCTTGAGTCTACATTTAACTAAACATTTAATGTATGAGCCCTTTTTTTTTTAATTTAGTTAAAAGAGATGTAAAATTAAATAATTAATATTTACTTTATTTTTAATTCTTTCACTACCAGTTTATATTTTATCTATGTGTGTAATTTCTTGATGTATAATGTGTTCCAGTTTTATGTAGTACAAATTTAATGGGTTTTTTTTTTATTTTATTTTTATTTTTATATTTTATTTATTTTTTTTAATATTTAAGAAGTAGCAGTATAAAGATGTCTCAGCGAGGATCATGTTTCTTTCCCTTCATTTTTCTGAATGAATTCTTTTAACCTTAAAGCGAACAATTTTAAAAGCATAAAATAAGCAAAAAACTTAAAAGTATAAATTAACTTTAAAACTAACAATCTAGTGCTATCACTGCTAAGATTATGAATTTAAATTCAATTAATATTTTGTTTTATTTATGATTATCTCCTAGGAAATGAAGAGTAAAAATTATCGTATATTCAATCTATTGAAATTAAAGTTAACTCTTAAGATATGATTAAAACTATTAAACACATTTAATGGACTCAGAAGAAGTTTAAAATTGTAATGTAAATAATCAAAGTACCCAAAAAATATTAAATATTATAAATGACAAAATTGAAAGAGAAATATTTATTGTTGATCTCGTGGAAGAAGGCTAACTTATCAATGGGAATTAGTCTTGTTTCATAAAATCCCCAATAACTGGGAATGATCGTGTTTCTTTCCCTTCATTTTTCTGAATGAATTCTTTTAACTTTAAAGCAAATAATTTAAATCCAAATATTATATGTTAGGTTTTTTTTTTAATGGAGGTTTGTATCACAGAAATGAAATACAAATGCTATATGATTCTGTCAATAAGATTTTCTCCCCCCCCCAAAAAAATGAGATCGATATTTTTCATAATAATCTGCACAGAAATGCTTCTCATGTAATTTCTTAATATCAGAAACTTTTTTCTATATGATTTTTTATTTTTAATTATGTACAGTTGCAAACATTTTGAAATTTTTCTCTGTTGGAGAGCAAGCTTTGTTGTCCACTGTGAAGATCCCCTAAATTATTGCATTCGTATCTCTGAAGAAACTTGTGTAATGCCCAAAAGAAGTGATATTCTGTTTGTGCATTTATCCAGTAAGTGTGGGTGTTAAAATATGAGCTTCCATCCAAACTTCTCTTACTTCCTGTAAATTCAAACAAGTATGTAGTGCTTTGCATTGTTGTGATTGGAATACCATTTCCTAATGATTTGCCTGCATAATTTTCTCTGAGAGCATTTTAAAAAACATCCAGCTTCAACAGTATACTTCCTCATTTAATATTAAGGGCTAGAAGCTTCCAATAGATCACTTCTCTAAAATTCCACCTGATACTTTAATCTTTAAGGGATATAATCTTTGTTTTATGGTAAATCCCAGCGATTAGCCTGCCCTACAAATGCTATGATTAATATCAGATTCTTGCAGAGATATGATGCAAAAAATCTAGATGCATTATACTGGTAAAGTTTGTGACACATTAATTCTGTCTCTTCCTAACTTTTTCAAATAAATCTTGTGGAATGTATTATCAAAATTTATTATAAATCCCAAGACAGAGTTGTCTTATAACCCCAAACATTTCTGTCTGTTTTCTTGCAATAATTATTCCGTATACACATTAGCTTCAAACAAGTTTCTGTCTTTCAACTTCTGAGGTCTTCATAGCTTTTTTAGTCTTTAAACAGCTTCTCAGTATCAAAACTAATATTGGCTAGTACATTTTGCTATTGCTATTTATGTCACATATTAATTGATAAATTTATATTACAATGTGCCCTAAATCATAGTCATGCAAAAGAGCAAAAGACAGTATCTGATATATTCCTTTTGAACCTTCAGTCGCCTCTTTCTGTCTTGTTTATCACTTAAAAGTAATGTGTAATGTTTATGTCAGCCCCATTTACGGGACAGAGTATTGAACTGTTCTGCAGCCAACTAATGAACACAGGCAACATGTTTCCAAATATAATAAAAATAATATAATACAGTACAAAGCCTTTAATCCAGACGTCCATAATCCGGACCTCAAAGCTACAAACTTTCTGCGTGTGCATAGCGTTTACGCATGCGCATATGCATTTACACATGCACGTTTAATGTATAACAGACGGTATAAGCTAGGCTAAAATTATCTAATTATCTATTTCAGTTAATTTTGCAGATTGCGTTGTTCCTAAATCTTCTTATTGGATCCGACTTATTATTTTTTGCAGACTATTAGAGCAATTTTATAAAAAGTAAGCTTGAACTTTCGATTATGTCAAAAAGAGTTTCTGCTTCTGGAGCTGCCAATGGATCTACAAAGCGAAAGCATGTTTCGATGTCCTTCAAACAAAAGGTGGAATTGCTGCAAGAAATGGATAAAGGCATGAAGAAAGTGACAGAGAAGTTAATGAACGAAAAAATTTCGATTGACAAGTTAGTCGGTATTCTCGACACAGCAATTACAGGACTTGAACAGCGGAACTTTCTAACTGAACAAGAAATTATGTCTTTTTATAGAATTAAAGAGAAAGTATTAGCACATAAAATGAAGCAACTTAGACAACTTACATTGAATGAAATGTTTAATAAAGTAAACAAATAAATATTAAGCTTTTTTTGTAAATTTTGATACCCTTTAGATTATAATTGCTCTTTATTTCATAAATTACGGTTTCCTATTTTTAATTTTATAATTTCGGCATGCCATCTTACCAGATTTAAATTGATGATCTATAATCTGGAAAAACCCCTAATCCGGAATCGATGAAGTCCCGACGAGTCCGGATTAAAGACTTTGTTCTGTACCACAATAGTAAACTAGTTTCTTAAAGATGTGAAAGTTAAAAGTTTTATGTCGGTAAAGTTATCTTTTGGTACCCTTTTCATATCATTTCTATTGCTACATTAAAACTTTAATTTATTAAAAGTATAAAAGGTACTACTCTGTTTCTGGAGACCTTAAAAAAGTCACCAAACTATTTTTGATGCTGAATTAATAATGGTAAACCTAACAATTCTCAAGTTCGATTTTACGTAACTCATGAGTTCATTTAACACAATTTTCAAATTCAGCTTTTTTTTTGGGGGGGGCCTGTGAATTTTTCAAAATAATGAATATTTATTTAAAGCTTTTTTTTTTTTTTCCAAGGGAGCATTAGGTCAGAAGTGCTATTAGTCCCAAAATGGGATTTTGCGTTGAATCATTGTTAAAGACTGAATCACTTTTTAAATAGTTGCCACCAAATATTTTTGACCTGTATTATTTTAAAAGAAATTAAATAAAAGGAGAATGTGCATGAACGTAGCTATGTTTCTCGCATTGTAAAAAAATGGCAGTACGTAGAGCCATCAAATTTTGAATAATGTAATCTTCCACCTGAACATAGGCATCTGGAAGCCGTAATTTGGGATTTGTTTTATTATGAATGTCACATTTTTTAGAAGTTTAATGAATATTTTACTTTCAAACTCAACGATTTCAAAGCGAGCAATGGCAACGCTGTATAGAAAAATTAAAAAAATTATCTCCCGCATGCAATACTGTCTATCGAAGATTCTAAAAATATGCTGTTTTTAAATATTTTGTGGCTTCATTTTATGTGCTAATACTTTCTCTTTAATTCTATAAAAAGACATAATTGCTGTTGAATTGAATTTCATGTGGTTTAAGTGCCATGATATTTAATAAATAAAGGAAACACACAAGACATTTAAAAGACTCCTTTGAGCATAATATAAAATCTGAAAGCTTTCAAATATTTTTAGCCCAAAGGGGCAATTTGCCCAGAAGGGCTGTTAATTTCATTTTGTCATTTTGCGTTAAATCACTATAAACGGCAAATTACCTTCTAAATTGTTTTTACCAAATAAATATTAGAGCCCTATATTTATTTAAAGAAATTAAATAATGAGGCACATGCATAAATGTAGGCATGCTTCTCACATTTTGATAAAACAACAGTACCTAGAGCCATCAAATTTTTAATAATATACATCTCTACCTGAATATGGGCATCTGGAAGTCAATTTAGAATTTGTTTTATTATCTATTTCATATTTTGTAAAGCATTTCTGAGTTTTTGATTAAGAAATTCGACGATTTGAAAGCAAGCAATGGCAACACTATACTGGGGGGGAAGGAAACATTTTTATCTCCGGCTCTTGAGACTGTGTATCAGAAATTCTAATGATATGCTCTTTTAAATGTTTTGTGATATTGCTGTTGAATTGAATTTTATGTTTTAGATGGGAAGAACATGATATTTAATAAATAAAGGTAACAAACAAGACGTTAAAAAAAGCGCCTCTTTGGGCTCACGGTGATATAAAATCTGTAAGCTTTCAGATGTTTTTAATCCCCCCCTTGCTTGCCATGGGTTTCGCAATTTGGGAATGGCCCATGGATAAAAAGTCTGTGATTGATTTATTTCAAACAAGAGGCATCATCAAAAATAAACAGTTCTGCTTTATAGATCATAGAATGATATTCATTTTTGAACAAAATGCCATGAAATGGCATTGCAGGAAAGGATCTTCCAATACGAGATTTTGAAAGAGCAAATTTGATTTGAAGGTTTCAAAATCCTTTTTCTCACAATCATGAGGTTCGTATATTTCTTGAACCAATAATATGACTGTTGATTGGAACAGTTACACGTAGGAGGTTTGCACAGTAGCTTGAATGGTCCCGCCTACAGTGAAAATCAGTAGAAGCGACAAGGCTGTAGTAATAGACAAAATTATTTTCGCTAGGCAAAAAAGGGTGATTTCTTCCACGACATCGGGTTTTCAGTAGATTGTGCAGAGATCCAATGAATGCTTTCTAGTTGCAGTTCCGAATCAGTCGGCGGAAACTTAATTGGCTGTCATTAAGGAAAGTGTTTTGGAAGGAACAACTATTTACACGGATTGGATGAACTGCAAGATTCCAGCTTCAAATGTAATACTGTGAACCATAAATTACACTTTGTTGATTCAGAAAATGGACCTAACACCCAGATGGTAGAGCATCTGTGGGGACACACCAAAATAGCGCAATAAACAGCATTGGGGCACGGCTCGACAGCATCTCAAATAATACTTGTTTGAGTTTAAGTGCCAACGAATGCATAAAAAGAATCTAACATTATTTTCTTCGATGTTGGAATCTAATAAAAAAATTTATGCTTGCTTATTAATTGAATAATTTAGATTTCAGATTTTTGCCTTATTTTGTGTGTGGTGTTTGATTTGGCCAAAATAAATAAAGAAAAATGTTTTTAAATACAAATTAACCATCGCCAGTGGGCCTCTGAAAACAAAGTAGTGCTAAATAAAACTATCAAAATCGCTATTATATTAAAGAAAAATAACTGCTATGCTTAAAAAAAAAAAAAAGTCTTATATACATGATATGTACTAAAATGACCCGATTTTTTTCACTTAAATGCAAGTTAGACCAGAAAAAATTATCACTTAAAGGCTGTACATTATATGTGAATATTTTAAAGCAAATATATGTAATTTCTTTATGATGTACTAATTTCATCTAAGCAGTTATCTTTATGAATAATATAAAGAGTAGAACATAAAGTAGTTATTAGAATTGGTATTGTAGCTACTATGTAATTTATTTATATGAAGAATTTTCATTTAATTATACAATTTAAAAAAACTGAGAAAATTGATAAAATATGAAAATTATAATAATAAACATTTTTATTAGTACAACTTTTATTTTTTTCATTATTCTGTACAGTATATCTCATTACTTTAATAATTTTCTTGCCATCAAATTTTAGTTTGCATAATTTTCCATTAATAAAATTAATTTTATCTCTAGCAACCAGAGAAGTGGATGTTGTGCCACCTGCAGAAGAAAGTGTATCATTTATGTAATGATATGTGTTGTAGAAATAACTTATCAATGAATCTCATTTGAAAGTAATTTTCAGCATTTATTTGTAATATTTATATATATTTACTTAAATTGGCATGGTGAGCTTTTAGGTAAATATGTACTTTGTATTTTCATAATTCATGTGAATTTAATAGATATGTAAGTGGTTATATACTCATAATTTTTATTCTTAAAAATTTGAGTTCTGTAACACTATGCCAGGTTTGCATTTATATGTATTTGTCAGTTAAGTAAATTATGCTATTTTTATAAAGCATGTTATATAAAAAAATAAACACTTTTCAAAATAAAAGTAGTACTGAACTGCTGTCATTGATTTAAAGATTTAATCTACCTTTTATTTGTTTTTAATGTAAATAATTTTATATTCTGTATTGCATTAAATTTGTTTTCAAGTCATCCGCTGCAAGTGCATTTCATACTTATTGAGTTCTTGGATTTCTGTTCTGATTTAATGCACTAATACATTAAATTCCAGTTCAGTACCTGCAGAGTATTCTGTTTTATATATTGATCACATCATTTTTCATCACCACTGTATTTATGCACATGTATTTTCATTTTTTACCATTTTGTGTTAAACCATTGTTAGAACTTGATTATAATTATTTTGAATTATACATACCTCACTTATAGGCTGCATATCAATTGCTTTAATATTTGTTTCCTGGTATATCTCTTTTCTTGCAATATGCAAGTTCATCTAATTTGATTTGTATTCTAATCACACAAATCATTACAAAATATTTTATATAAAGTATATATTTATTTGAATCTCATGTTAATTTTTAGAAGTCTTGTATGTATAGCCTTGAACATTTCCATTTTTAGTAAAAATTTCAATTGTATTATGAAGTTTTTTTTTTTTTTTTTTTTTTTTTTTTTTTTTTTTTTTTCATTTTAGATCTCTTTAACAAAATTACAAATCTTATTGTTAGATATATTTTGGGTGAAATACTTATTTTTATTAAAAAATAAGCTGACATTTATGCAAATGTGTTCTTTCTTAATATATGTTTACCTATTCTTTCTTTAAAATAAACAAATCATCTTTAAAATATCAAATTTCATACATTATTCTTAATTATAAAAAAGAAATTTGCTCAAGGATTGCTTAAAGTTTTCCATTATCTCTTACGAAATGAAAGAATCGTCTTTCACAAAACCATAATACATGGTTTCAGTCTTCGGGACATCTGTTTAAAAGTTGAACAAAATTTGCTAATAAAAGACTATGCCAATTAATATATTAAAAAATTTTCTACATTAAAATACTACAATAGTTTTACTCCTTTAATAAGAAAAATTGCAATTTTAGAGTTCATGCACAATTTTTGTGATGGTTAAAGATATATTAGCAAACATAAAAACACTGACAGAGTGAGCTCATTTTTTAATTCTTTATACTGTTTGATAGATCTGATATTATTTTCATTTTTTTAATGGCAAAAAGGAAGGATTGGTAATTGATGTGAATTTTAACTAGGTTTTTATTAAAAAATACTTTTTTTTTTTTTTTAACCCAAGAGAGCATTTGATTTGACTGAACTGAATGTTAAAATTTGTCTAAACATAATTTTGCAGAAAAAAATTACATATAATAATCAAAAGAAGGATAATTAACCTTCAGTTAAGCAAATGTCTATTGCATTAAGTTAATATTTTCTGCATTTTCTTTATAAATATTATTTTTTCATTCAACAAAAATGTTAAAACGATACTAGTTATTTGTAAATTATCATCATAATAAACTTTTATTTACTTTTTAATGAAAATTAATTTAATTTATCTGAGAATAAATTTATATATATATATATATATATATTCATTACATTATCATCAGATATATTTATTTTCTTTTCTACTGGTATAAGTTTGCTAAACCTTTGAGTATTTTAAAGTAAATTATTATCCTGCATTATGCCAAATAATAAAATGATTTGACATGACAGTGATCTAATTAAGTGAATAAAATTTGAAAAGTGAGAATTCATTAATAGAATAGTTTTGGAAAATTATTGTAATGTTTTTAATTATAAAGTTTTCCTAAATTTTGTAATATTTTTTGGGACATATTTATGATGAAGCATTAATTTTTTGCTCACAAGCACATTTGAAAATTTAATTTTTAAGCAATTATTTGCTATTCAAATATCAAACATTCAACTGAAGAGAATGCATTCATTATATTTCTAATTTAATGAAAGAGCAATTACATAATTTATAACAAACCATTAAAATTGGTGATTTATCATTATTTAGTGATATGTTTTATTATTATGTGTTGTATCTCATTTTTTTAAAAATTTTAGATAATTATGTTAAACTTGTAAGTACAAACACTATCAGTCTAAATAAATATAAATTCTTTTCCATTGTGCAAAATAAATAAAATATTTGTCTTCATCAGAACAAAAAGCAAGAACACTTTAATTTTAACATAAATATTAGAGTTTCGTCTAAGATCTAGTGTGAAAATTATAAACTGTAGGGGAAAAGCAGATTCCAAGTTTTTGAAAGGTAGTGTAATTTGCAATTAATGATTGAAATTTAATCACGCTTCTATTTTTGCAACTTGTAAAATGACCATATTTTCCATTAATGGTACTTAGTATGCAAACATTTCTTTTAACTCCCATTTCTTGACTGATGAAAACAGTCTTCAAGATTTTAAGCTATCCAGCCCCATTATTTTTTTTCATAACTTTTATAAGTAAGTATTTTTAAGAGTTAAAGGTTTGAATTTGATAAACGATACTTAAACAAGCTGTTACACATGAATGCTAAAATTTATGGAAATAAATTGCATGTTACTTTTCATTTCTTTCACAATCACTGTCTCATTTATGACCTAGCTTAAATATTAATAAAATAAATGTAAATTTCACTTATTATTAGATGCTCCATTATTAATTCTTTTATATAAATTACATTCAATCATTTATAATTTTCTTCTAGTTCTAAATTTACTTCCAAGTTTAAAAGGAAATTCATACTAAAAAGCAATTAGTTGAAACACAAACATTTCTTTTCCAGAAATATATATGTAAAGTATAATATATTTGTTGCTGCCGAACTGTAAAAATCAATTAACAAAACAAACAAAAAAATACATAATATGGATTGAAATCAAATAGCAGGTATTTAATAAATTGCAAAATGAATAAAAAATACAGTATGATTTGATGAAATTTTGACATAAAAAAATTTTGTGGAGTAAATCATTTTCTTAAAGTTTTTGCCTGTTGACAAAAGGGGGATATGCATTCCCTTGAAACATGTCTGACTGTTATTCATACTGAAATTAATATCAATGAAAAGCTTATTTTTGCTGTTTGTCAGTGCTTATATTAGCATATATTTCCTGTATTTATTATTCAATAGTTATTTGCAAGTTTGTATACAGTACAAAGTCCGTAATCTTGACTCGTCGGGACTTTGGCAATTCTGGATTAGAGGTTTTTCCAGATTATAGATCATCAATTTAAATCTGGTAAGATGGCATGCAGAAATTATACTATTAAAAATATGAAACCGTAATTTGTGAAATAAAAAGCAATTATGATCTAAAGGGTATCAAATTTTACAAAAAAAGCTTAATATTTATTTGTTTATTTCATTAAACATATCTTTCAACTCGCGCATACGTAAAGTTTGTGGCTTTGAGGTCCAGATTACAGACTTTGTACTGTACTATAGTTTGTTCGAGTTAAAATCAAATAAAAAAAAATTCAAGTTAAAATCTAATTAGTCTGCTGAATTTTAATAATAGGTTAATTTTGACAAAATCTCATTGAATAGTTGTTGGAGGGGCTATATTGTATATATCTCATTGAAGCATATACCGTGTTTAATTTATGTTATTATGTATTAATTATGTTAACATTACCGCTCACTACAAGTGGTAATGTTCTATGTTAATGCATGCCTAAATAAAATCCCTTTTTAACAGTATTATACATATTGTATTAATAATTATGCATTGTGTATGTTTTAGATTTTTTTTTTTTATGTGTAGTCTAATATTTGAGATTATTTTTTATAAATAGTTCTTTAATGCTGCTAAATAGAGTAGCAAGTGATAAGAGGTACAGAATCTCATATTAGGTGTTTAAGTTTATGTTTTAAATTTTTTATCAATAAGAATTGTTATGAAATTTTAATTATTATAAGTGAATACCTGTGAAGATGTAAATTATATGCATATTTGTAAATGACAAAAATGCCGGCTTTATATTGTATGTAAAAAAATACATACCATATTTGACAGCATGTAAGACGCATCCCTTATTTAGAAGGCCACACGTAGATGTACAAAAGTTATGTTTGTCTAGACCTTTATCCGGGCTAAAAATAGCATTCCGTATTGAAAGTTAACTTGTGTCCTTCACATATAAGATGCAGGTAACTTTTTTGAGACCAAATTTAGGAAAAAAAGTGCGTCTTATATGCCATCAAATATGGTATATGCTGGATGATGAATAAAATTTATCAATTTCAGAGGTGAAAATAATGTCTTCTTATAGTACAGAATCTCATTATTAGGTGTTTGAAGTTTGTGTTAATTTTTGATCAATAAGAAATGTTATGAAATTTTAATTAATGTAAGTGTGAATACCTATGAAGGTGTAACAAATGCATATTTGTAAATGATAAAAATGCCAGATTTATATTATATGTAAAAAAATACATATATGCTGAATAAAATTTGTCAATTTCAAAGGTGAAAAGAAAAATCTCTTCTAATCAGGTCATTATGTTTTATAAGATTGGTAATTTTTCCACATTAAAAGTTATTAAAAAGAGTAATAGCAACACTGATAGCCCTCTCCCCCCTTTTTTTTCTCAAAAAATAAAAAGTCCATGTTTTAAGTAGTACCCAATAAGCAGAATTTCTGTGCCTTAAAGGCAAAGCAAAAAAAGAGTTACTAAATCAGTGTGAAAAATATTTTACCCATTTTAAATCGTATACAGTTCAATTTATCTGTAGTTCATCTGTTCACCTGTTAGTGAGATGTTGTCAGCATTTTTGTTAGAAATGTAATTGTGCTTCAAAAATAAACAGTATAATTTAGAACACACCATACTGTGATTGTATTATATGCTAGATAATTATATAATTAATAATATTAATAATTATATATAATCGATGTAATTCTTATTCCCTCAGCTTATTTGGAAACACTAGGAGTAATATTTATTCTGAATGATATGCTATTATAAATTTTTGTGGAATTAAGTTTTTTCCCCAAATTTAATATTCCTGTTTAAAAACTGCCACTTATTTTTTTGAATGGTTTCGATGCATATACGGTACAAAGTCTTTAATCCAGACGTCCATAACCTGGAATGATGTATAATCCGGACCTCAAAGCTACAAATTCTGTGCATGCGTAAACGCATTATGCGTTTAATGTATAACGGATGTTATAAACTAAGCTAAAATTATCTATTTCAGTTAGTGTTGCAGATTGTGTTGTTCCTTAATCTTCTAATTGGATCCGGCTTATTATTTTTTGCAGACTGTTAGAGCAATTTTATAAAAAGCAAGCTTGAACTTTCGATTATGTCAAAAAGAGTTTCCGATTCTGGAGCTGCCAGAGGATCTACAAAGCGAATGCATGTTTCGATGTACCGCTTCCGATAGTGAAGAAAGTGACAGAGAGGTTATTGAAAATGAAAAAATTTCGATTGACTAGTTAGCCAGCATTCTCGACACAGTAATTACAGGACTTAAACAGTGGAACTTTGTAACTGAACAAGAAAATTATGTCTGTTTATAGAGAATTAAAGAGAAAGTATTAGCACATAAACAATTTACATTGAAAGAAATGTTTAATAAAGTAAACAAATAAATATTAAGCTTTTTTTTTTTTTTAATGTTGATACCCATTAGATCATAATTGCTCTTTATGTCATAAATTACGGTTTCATATTTTTAATTTTATAATTTCTGCATGCCATTTTACCAGATTTAAATTGATGATTTATAATCTGGAATCGCCGAAGTCCTGACGAGTCCAGTTTAAAGACTTTGTACTGTATATAGTGGTAAATTAATAAGCGATTTTTTTATATAATTTCTGTGCATACCTTCATATACAGTGATAATAACAAAATTAATAGAAAATGTGTTCTCCTTTAGCACCTCCTCTGCTAGAATGTGCTTAGGCATTGACTCTATTAATCTTATGATTTTATTTTTTACTTCTATGTCATGGAACCACACATTTAGAGTATTCTTAATCATGTGCTGGTTTGTATTATCCATTTTGCTGAGATATTCCTTGAGAATGTGCCACAAGTTTTCAGTCGGATTTAAAAGTGTGGTGAATTTCTATGCCAATCCAGCACAATAATTTTAGTTCTCAACATGAATCTTCTGACAGATTCCATATTGTGACATACAACCAAGTCATGCTGAAATGTCCCTGCAAAAGTTTTCAAGACAGGATGCCTTAAAATTTCTATATACAATGAATTCATCATTGTGTCAGTAAGAAGTAGACTTCCAGTGACATCTGCAGTGTAAAAACCCCAAAATATTTGTTTTTGAGGGTATATTATGGTTTATTAGCTATGCTGAGGTCTTGCTAATACCCTTGCTTCGTCTAATATTATGAGGGCAATCCCAAAAAAAAGGTCTCCTATTTTTTGGGGACATAGAGAAAGTTTTAATGCGGTTGTTTGTAACACTGTTGGGAGTAGTGCCTTCTCCGCTACCACATGAGCATGCAGGCGCTTCGCTCGGATGCTCACTCTTGGCTTGGCAGCCATTCGAAATGGAGCTCCTGATAAACGTTACCGCCAAGTGCGAAGTGCGCGCAGTTATTCAATTTTTGAACGCAAAAGGCGTTGAAATTCACCGCCTATTGACAGAAGTGTATGAACAGTCGTGCATGGATGTCAAAAACGTCCGCAAGTGGTGTAGATAGTTTACAGCCGGTCGTACTGAAATTCATGACGAAGAAAGGAGCAGGAGGCCGTCAATTGCCAATGACTCAACTTTCACGATTGTTGAGTTCGTATTCGTTGAGTTCGTAAAATGCGTAAAGATCGGAGGATCATCTGGATGCTCCTGAAGCTCCTCAACGCTTCCTGAAGGGCATGGCGGCAAGCTGGTATGACATGGGCATTGTAAAACTGCCACAGCGTCTACAAAAATGCATTGACCGAAATGGCGATTATGTTGAAAAATAAAGCATTCTGCAATCTTTAAAGTGATGTAGCAATTATAGAAAATAAACGGTTCTTTGTATATCTAAAAATCTAGGAGATTTTTTTGGGATTGCCCTCGTACATGTTTAACCATGAACAAATAAATGAGTCTCATCTCTAAAAATGGCATTTTTGCAGTCATTTATAATCCAAGATTAAAAATTTTTTAGACAACAGTTATCGATTTTCTGCCTTTCAACTAGCAGAGAGGAGTCTACGCCACACATTTGAAGGATGAATATCAGTACCAATAAACAATAGATCTTTTTTAAGGTATTTGCTGGTATTTTTTGGATTAATAATGCTTTTCAGAGTAAAAATAAGTCATATTTTAGAGTTGTTTCTCTTTTCTTTCCACATTTGCTGATCCTTTCTGGAGAAAATGAAATACCCTCATATGCGGTCAGGTCGTAAATTTAGAACCCCTTTTTTCACAGGGGGGCTGAAAAGTAGGGATGATTTTGCTCGTGGTCTTGGGGGTCGTTTAAACATCTAACTTCTCTACATTCAGTTTTTATACAGAGGAAAATACAAATTGAATTCTTCGAATGAATGCAATTTTGTACAATGAAAATGTATTACTTAACGATAAACTGTAAGATAAATAACATCTTTTTTTAAAGCCATAGGTGTAGAAAGACAGATATTTGTTACACGAATGAATTTGTAGTAAATATTGAGTTTTTCATTTCGAATGCTATGTTCCATGTATGCGAAGTAGCTGAGTATGTGAGATAATAGTCATAACCGAATGGCTTTCAACCTTTTCACGGCTAAGGACTGTTTCTCAATTACATTGTGGTCGCTGCTTTTTGGTTAATTTTCTAATGACATATAAACAATAATTGTTTTTATTTGAGACTTATGAATAAAATAACGCAAACTAGACTGCAGAAAATTCTTAAGAATGAAGTTAAATAATACTGAAAAATACATTATTGATGCACTTTTGTGTTTTATATGTAGTAGTATTAACTACTACTATAATCCTTAAATGGAATCCTTAAATTATATATATATCTATGTATAGGTATATATAAATGGAACCAAATATAGAACAAGGTATAAAATATCTTTATTATACAATGTTCATTACCATACGTATATTTACGTAATATCAATATAAATAGTTAGTTAGGTTTCGTACATATATATTTATTTTTATATTTTGTATTTTTTGTATTAGATTCAGTATTGTATACGTATCTGAAGTTTAATTTATTCTCTTTTTGGGTTACGACTTTAAGTGAGAAAGAATTGTTAGGGCCTTC